CTAAAATTTGTCTATAAATAAAAGCCAGCTACATATGCATATAATTTGATTCTGAGATATAGGCACAGCCTCATTATTTCTATTCAAGTGTAAATAAATTCAACTTTTAAAAATTAAAACTAATGGGAAAACTAATTCAAGGTTAAAAATTTAAATTTATAGAAAGGTATCAATAGAATTTTTTTTTAGAATGTATGCTTGATCTCTAATTCTACTGTAGAGATTTTGAAAACCACATGGTCATAAGCCATTTTCTTCCAATTAAAAACAAAACAAAACACAACACTTTATACATTTCCCAACCTGAAATTAGAATTAGAAAATTATTAAACTGTTACATTCCTCATATCCAAGTATCATCTATGAATTCTTTGTGGAAAACCAGACAGGGGAAGTTTTGCATCTCTAACCAGCAAGCAATTGCTTTCTTTTGCTTTCCTAATAAATTACAGGCAGACTTGAACAGATGTCAGGTTGGCATTCAAAACCTAAAATATAGCTGAAAAGCAAGTTATGACTAATACAAGGGGAAAAGATGAATGTCAGAAAGCTTCATTTTTTTCTTCTTTTTTTCAAATTTCAGATAAGCTCTTTAGCCTTAGGGTTCCTTTTACAGAGCCCTGGAGTTCGGCTAGATGTCTTAACCCCCATTTAAATTGCAATCTCTGCTCATGAGTGGGGGTGTGAAAATGCATTTTAAGAGTGTCAGTGTTTATGTTAATCTTAGCAAGAACTCCCTCTCTCCCTAATATGGCATGTTCAAAACATTAGCGCTCTTTCTTCCACTCTATTTTATTTGCACTGTTCTTAGCATCTGAAAGATGTCTGCATGTGATTGAAAGGCTCCTTATCTCTCAGCCTTCTACTTCATAGAGTAACTGCAGTCTCACATATGATAACAGAAAAGAGTTGCTTTCCTCTAGAATTTCAAAAGAAACCTTAAAAATACAGATTGAAAGTGGACTTAGAGCGGGAGGCACAGAGGAAAGGGGACCAAAAAGAACACTCTGTCTGTTTGGAAGAATGGGGCACAAGATCATAACAAGTGGCTTTCCTCCCCACTTGGTGGCCTGGATATCTACAAGGTTTAGATCTACCAAAGGACAGTATGAGGCTTAAAGATTTAGTGCCTCTACACCCTTTTCCTTCTAGCTCTGAAATGGGTCACTTCTACCAAAGCCCCTTTCCATGGATACATGTGAACCTAGTCCTAAAATTACATTAAGGGATGCTAATTCTTTAACAATTATTCCACTGTTCTTTGAACAAGATTTGTGTGTGTGTGTTTTCCCTCTCTGACATTTACAGGTTAGAGGTAATTGTCAAGGGTGCTGAAAAATGAGGTTTCTTTGCAGAAACTATCTTTGCCAACAAAAGGGCTACAATGAGAACTGAGGAAATCAATTGTTTATCCTGAGCTCTCTCCAAAACTGCATGCAAAGGACTAAATGTGGCAAATGTATATGTTCAGTTGACATCTGAGTATTCTCAAGGACGGCAATCAGCTGTTGAGTTTATTCACCTGTACTTCCACATACTGGTTCTTGATGCCCATATTTCTACCCTGGCACTCAAAAGGTGTTTCTATTATCCCACAAAATAGGATTTAAGGTCATTAGTAACTACACATCCATCATTAAAGGGCCTGGAGGATATTCTGAATAAATAATTATTTGGTATTCACTAAATGCAAGGTATAGGACTAGTTTTCTTGTGAATGCTTTTATTTACTTCCAAGGAAGAACTGCCCTGCGGGGGTTTGGGTGAGTCTAACTGCTACAGACAAGGAAAATGTACATAGTTACACTGATGAAAACAACAACAAAACAAAACAAAACTGATATTCCCTCTAAATAATCCCTTTTCCTATTTCTACACATGGCCTTTCTTCCTCTGTCTGTAGCACGGTAAGTGACTTCCTTTCCCCTTTCAGGCGTTCCTTAATTAGAATTCTATAAAAATATTATAACAAAAACAGCAAGGTATATATTACATAATTGAAAGTACTTCAAGAGAGAAACTAAAAGATTGGAAACTAACATAACAGTAGGTTTTGCAGTTGCTCGTATGAAAAATAATACAATTAATAAATAATAATGCAAGAAAAAACTGTTTTGCGTACTCATAACTATAAACCTACTTTTGTCCCATCCTGTATTTCATGTACATTACCTCATCTGATCCCCAATTTTGTTCATAACTGTGTGTCTCTCTCTGGTTAGTCCTTTTGTCTTCCTACATCTCATCAGCAACATTCTGCATATATCTAAACTATATTTTCAATGTTAAAAGAAACATGAAGTTTTACAAGCAAAAAAGAAAGAACTGTATTACCTAGGAGCATAATTATCAGTCTCATAAACATGACACAATAGAATTCTAAATTTATCACTTTTTGAGCTTCCAACTTTGATGTACAGGCAAAAAGATCCATTTAGTTAAGATTCCTGTTTGCAAAGTAGACATAACTCTAGACTTCTTGGTAAAGATAATGATTTGGTCTCAAGCCAAAAGTAAAAAAACTTCTCTGCTTAAATCTAAACAAAACAGCCCCATAATTATTCTTTTCTAATCATTTTTTTCATTTGAATTGATTTAATTAATCATACCCAGTGCCCAACTGGATCCCTCAACCATACAGGTTTATCTATTTAGTTAACCAAGAGTAAGCAAAAGAATCAACCAATTTTGTTTTTACCTGGCAGGGTAAAAGAACACAAGGTATATATAAGAAGGAGTTAGATAGCATTATTTTATATTATATCTAAAAGTAGCAATTTGTATTTTTATATACCTTTACCACCACCTAATGAGAACTTTATAACCACACTGTTCTTGGAGTGCAATAAGCCCTCACAATTAAAGTAAAAAAGAAGCCTCTATTGGAAAATAGGGAATGGCACATGCATAGCAAGAGAATTATTTCACAGCCATTTTAACATTAAAATAAGTAGCTTTAGGACACTGAAAATCTTTATTCAGAATAAAGACAATGTCTTTCAATCAGCTCAAAAGCCAAGGTAGCTTTATATTTACTCTTGTTTAAATCAAGTTTATAGCATATGCTTCTTGATGGGGAAAAAGCCATGAAGAGAAGAGATATATTACTTAAAAAACAAACAAGCAAACAAAAACCGAAAGAACTTTTTTTTTTGTCTAATTAAATTAGTGTAAAAATATTAGAAAAATAAGTACATAAAAAGAGCTTTGGATAGTAGCACTCACAAACAAAATTCAAATCCATGGTCCTTAGTCAAAAGGCATGTTAATAAAAACAAAAGCATACTATTATAATTTAATTGGTTTCAATATGGGTTGCAGAAACACAGACTAAAGTCACTCAGAATGCTGTCTCTGTTCTGGTTTAATTTCAAATTCTTTGACAGCTGGCAAAATCACAAGTCAACCAATATGAGTTTTACTTATTTATGAACTACCTAACTCAGACAAAAGCCCCAATGAGCAGAGTTTAGATAATGCACAAACACAAAACTATAGTGTCTGAATCCTCCATAGAGTCCAAAGGTGAGAAAATACTCATAATATAGTTTAAAAGTATGGCTTTACAGAAGCAGTTATTCTTCTGCTTGTTGGCTGGATAGTATAATGCTCAAAGAAACAGAATCATTAGACTCTTTCTATCGATATATCAGAGCTCACTCTTGAAATCCAGAAAAAATATTCTACAAGAATAAATTACAACATTTGAAATCCCTTTATCTCTGCCTGTACTTACAATATACTTAAATAATATTTTCATATCTTGATCAAAAAGCTTTATGGATTATGCCTCAAAATATACATTGCCAAGATAGTGAACTATCATACTTTTTACTATTTTCCAAATTAAAATTGTTTTTTATGGAGTTGGCCTTTGTATCTTTCAGATAAAAAAGTATGTTATTGCCATTTCAAGGTGTGTGAAACTCAGGTGATGAGGGTCTCTGTCATTTTCTCTTAATCCAATTCCAAATTCGACCTTTACCCAGTGAACAGGTGTGTGCTACGCCTGTAATTTATCAGAGTGAGCGACCAGGCAGAAAAGCTACCAACAATAGGAGGCTAATAGAACCAAGCCCTAGTGCCTAGAAAGCAGTTCTTATCCCCACCATTATGAATGTACTTTATCTCCCGGTAGCAATTGAAAGATAAAGAATGATGGGGGTGAGAGAAGTAATATATTCGTATTCCTCCAGGTTTTTTTGGATACTGTTTTTGTACTAATAGTCTGCCAGAAGCTGTTATGTTATAAATTCCTTTCTGAGGTATTCTGTGGCTCACATTCCAATCCAACTTATAATGTGGATATGAAAACAGTCATGACAGCATTTCCACTAGGGCAAATAATGCCACTTCACACAGATAAATTAAATAAACCTTCAAGAAGAAAGTGATAAATGAATAGTGCATTTTTTTGTATGTAATATGGAAACTCCTACGAATACCCTACATTTGTCTTATTGGATCAAACTTATCAAATTTAAAAACATACCAAGTATCCATTTACTAGGTATGAAGATGTACTAATTAAGTAATGCAACAGCACACTACAAAGCAGCAGCTAATATTAGAAAATGCCCACAGTCTAATAGATAGTAATTATCCAGCAGGGTAAATCTTGATTCATAGTGTACCTTTAGAGTCGGGTGAAATTTTTAAATATTCCCTATGCAAAACATTAAAATAACTAAATAAAATGATATAACTAAATATGCACAGTAGAAAAAGAGACCTGAATAAGTAAATAAATGAATAAATTTAAAAAGCGGAGCAAAGCCATAAATGTTTCTATGATTTCTTCATCTATTTAAAATGTAATTTTAAAACTTCTAACTTGTCAAAGATTTTATAGGGAAAAATTTTTTTTATAATAAGTTAAAAGAGAAAAATACTTTGGAAGGTCTGAAGAATCATTTTAAAACATAACTGAAAAAAGACTTCATAACATTTATTTTTAAAAACAATATAAGGTTTTATCAAGTTCTCCTTTTTAAACTCACCCATCTGTTCCACAATCTCTGGAGGAAACACTCGGGAAGCAAATGCTCGTCGAAAAATATCTGAAAATTCCTTGTCCAGACCTCCTATTCCCATTTTTTCAAAGTTCCAGTCAGGATTGATGATAGACTGGCGATTTTCCTTGGTTTTAGCTTTGCCTATGTTAAACAAAGATAATCAAAAGTGAAACAAGAACTTCATCAGGAAGTATAAAAGACAGAGCTCATGGGGCATCCTCAATGAACAAAGGAAGGCTACCCTTATACAAAGATGAACAACATGCTCTTAGCTGATTTTCTAATAAGAATGAATTTTGCTATCTTAACTACTTTGTCTGGTCCCCCTTTAGGGTCAGTAAAAAACTTTCAAAATGACTAGCTAAACTCATGCTGTAGTCCGTTTGTAATCAATCCGTGGAATCCTAACCAATTTAACTAACTTGGTTGATTAGAAGAAACACCATGTGCATATCTGATGAAGACAACACCAGCTGCCAGAAATATAACTGAAATCTAGCAGTCCCTCAAGGCTCCTAAGGCAAGTGTATTTAAAAATACTTGTATTTATCTAGATTAAATTTATAATTGAGTATATGAACCCTTCAGCCTGGGAAGATGCACTGAATAAGTTTGGTGTCTTATTTGCTTTTCTTCACTTGTACATCAAAGTCTAAAATCATCCTAAAGTCTTTAATGATTTCAAAATTCGTGTTTTCAAATTCTTTCAGACACAAATTATTTCACTTAAATGTTATAGTGCCACCTAAAGTAACTCCAGAGAACCACATTCACTATCACAAATACAAAGAATATAAGTGCCTCGGAATACATTACTATACATAAAAAAGTAATGTTTTAAGTTTTATTAAATTAGGGAAGAAAAGGCTGCATTAGAAAAAGTTTATCTTAAACAGTAGTTCCATGGTTAGAGTTTTGTGGACTTAACATTTCCTTTACAAAGCTAAGGAAAATACTTTTCTTACACTCTACTGTCCTCTTGTGGCCAAACTTGCTGTATGGTAAATCACCACAATTTTATTTTCCAAAAGGAAAAACCTATCAATCACACCTTCGCAGAAATTACTTAGAAATATCCACACTGTATGAAAGTCATGTAATTCCTTTGAGATAACAAAAAGTGTAGAAAACATAACATACACTGTGGAAATATATTTGATCAGTAACAGGAGATTTTTGAGTCCAGACAGGATGGCTCAACCAGGAGGTCACGGTTTGACTCCTACATCAGGGCACATGCCTGAGTGTGGGCTCAATACTGGGTAAGGGGTATGCAGGAGGCAGCTGGTCAATGATATTCTTTCATCATTGATGTTTCTCTCTCTCTCTCTCTCTCCCTTTCCCTTTCTGAAATAAATAAAATACATTTTTAAAATAATAGGTTTTGATATATCCCACACCCATAAAATGACATATATAGTTATTAAAATTAATGTTGAAATGTGTATTTATTAAGATGGTTGAAATGTGTTAATCAGTAAGAATAAATTATAAAACAGAATAAAATTAGAAATTTTTAAAGTTGTGTGAGCTGTGTTTGGGTGTCTATCCATATTTTATAAAATAAATATTTTACTTTATAATTAAGAAAAACAATAGAAGGGAATAATAATTTATGAATAAAAAAAGGCTACACATTCCAAGAAAATTAAATAACCTTGGATATGATAGTATGCAACTAAAGAAAATTCTCTTTCTATTGGAGTAAACATCAATTTAGTTATTAAATTAATAAAAAAAATAATAACTTCTGCAAAGTTAATGGCATTATTATTCTGGTGAGTTACACTTCTTAAAGTTCAATCTGCTTTTTAAAGTGGGGCTAATATAAAAGAATAGGACTACAATATGAATCTGTTGTAAAGACTTTATTTACCTGCACATTTATCATTTAATTCCATCACTAATCAAAGTGACACTAGTATTGCATTTAACATTCAATCAGGTAAGGGACAGTCTACAAAATAACTGACCAGTCCTCAAGGTCATAAAAGACCATGAAAGTCTGAGGAACTGCCAAGAGAGTGGAGAAGATTATGGAGACTAAACAACTAAATGGAGAAGATTATGGAGACTAAACAACTAAATGAAATGTGGGTCCTGAATTAGAATCTGAAAGAGAAAAAGGACAATAAACATAGTGAAGCCTATATTTAGTTAGCAGCACTAACTAATGTAACCATGATAATTTAGGTTTGGTAACCGTACTATGGTTATTTAAGATGTAACATCAGAGGGTGTTGGTAAAGGCTATCCAGAAACTCTGAACTACTTTTGCAAATCTTCTGTAAGCCTAAACTTATCTCAATATAAAAACTTTAAAAATTAATTTTATCTGTATCTTTTTCCTTATGTATAGTGTGGTTACTAGGAAATTAAAAATTACATATGTGGCTCCCATTGTATTTTTATTAGACAATGCTGATCTAGTGATGGTTTTAAACTTTTACTACATTAGCTCATTGTGATTTTGTGAAAAGCTTTCCCAAGGGAGATGCCCCTATTCTCTTTCCCACTTGAAAATCACTGTAGTTGAGTCACATATAACAGAGTTATTCAGAATCTTCTAAAAACTGTCTTACCAATAAGATTGAGTGATGAATTTTCTGCTTTTTCAAATGCAACTTGACTATTTCCAAGAACCAATCCTAGTTCAATCTGTGCAGAAAGAGAATAATTAATAGTCTATAGCAGACTTCTGGACTTCTTAAAACAAAGTCAAAAACAAAGAGGAAATGACGTCTCTCTAAGCAGAGCAAATCTTCCAACTATCACCTAATTTACATTTTCTTTTGTCACACCTACCTTTTAATTATTCCTGTTTTCTTTATTTCAATGAATATATTTTTTCATAATGCCTGTCTTATTATTATTTATTTACAATACATATTATCTGCATTCAACCAAGATTACAAATTTCAAATTACTAGAAGGTCTGCAAATAAGTGTATTTTATGCCATCTAATATATATAAAAACCTAAGGGACTGTTACGACCAGTTGACCAGTCACTATGATGAGCACTGACCACCAGGGGCAGATGCTCAATGCAGGAGCTTCCCCCTAGTGGTCAGTGAGCTACCACAGCCAACATCCTGTGGCTGGCCAACCTCCCATAGGGAGGATGACTAGGTGAGCAGGCCTTGATCGCCCGGATCATTGGCCAGGCCAAGAGATCCCACCTGTGCATGAATTCGTGCACCAGGCTTCTAGTATTTTAATAATAATGCTTGCTATAAAAGCAATTTTCTCTCCCTACTATCATAAAAGAAAGAGTGCATAATATGAAAGAAACCACTGAGCAAGAGAATGGATAGGAAAATTCTATTAATCTGCACAATTTACATCATAGAAATTATCAAATAAAAATTATCAATAAAACATACCTTTTGTCTTTTACCTGTCCCCTGCTCTCCCTTCAGGATGCTGGGATCCATGGCTTCAATATCCTTTACTACTAAGCTAAAAAGCTTTTCATTGAAGCTAAATACAAGCTATGTAGAAAAAAGGAAAGGGCAGAAAAATCACTTTATGATACAATGCTTCACTCTCACATCATCAGCAATATTCTCTAAAGGCAGAAAAGCCTTGTCCTGTGTATTCCTCTTATATCTGCTTCATTGACAAACTACCCACTAGCCAATGAGAGGAAAAGGGAACTAACACTTACTGAGTTATTTGCTGTGTACCTAACACTCACCACAGGTTATGTAATTAATATTCACAAACTCTTCTGGAAACAGAAATTACTCCTCAGTTTTAACTAGTGAGGAAGCTAAGATCCAGAGATGGACTAAGCAATGTGACCCAGAGTCACAATAAATGACGGTGCCATGAGTCAGCCTGGGTCTGAGACTCTGATATCCATGCTTTTCTAAAACCAATACTAAATACCTGTCACACGAGTGCAGAGACAGCATCAGATGCATCCATTTGCCAAGTATTTATTGAGTGCCTTTCGCAAAGTAGGCTCTCTTCGCATTCTGGGGTATAACAATAAATATAACCGACAATGTTGACTGTCAATCCTGCTACTACTATTTACTTTGAAAGGGAATAAATACTAAGAACAGTAATTTGGGATATTTATTTCTTCTCTATATTATAGAGGATTTTATTTCATGGCTTTATAGACATCCATATGTTATTAGGTTTAAATTATTACAAATATCAAAGCATTTTCTATTAAACATTCTTCTAAGCATTTTCTACTAAAATACTAAAGCTAAAGGAGAAGGTAGAAACAATGAAGTTTAGCTCGGCCAGTGTGGCTCAGTGGTTGAGCTTCGACCTAGGAACCAGGAAGTCATGGTTTGATTCCCAGTCAGGGCACATGCCTGGGTTGCAGGCTTGATCCCCAGTAGAGGTTATGCAGGAGACAGCAGATGGATGATTCTCTTATCTTTAATGTTTCTATCTCTCCCTCTCCCTTCCTCTCTGAAATCAATAAAAATATATTTTTTAAAGAATAGAAATTTTTGAGGCCCCCCAAAGGCCTTTGTTTATATAAATTATATCTATTGATGACATTTACCATATTAAAAATTAGAACAAAGGAACTTAAATTTTATTTCTTAATCTAAAATTAACTAATAAATTCATGATGCGTTAGCAAAAATAACATTTTTAATGTATAAAATACTCTCTAATGTCCAAAATAAAAAAAACAAAACACAAGTTGGAAGAGTGACAGTCACGTTTTCACAAATCTCTTTCATGGAAGACAGTTGGCCCCCATGACTATTTTAGCAGTCGATGTGCTGCACTAGCACAAATCTATAAAACTGCACCATTTGCTCATTCTGTATAATAAAGAGCTAATATACTAATCAGACCGAACAGCAGAACAACCATCCAGACAGAATAAGAGGAAAATGACACATATGTCTTGGTATTAATATGAAAATAGCTATTGACTTTGCAAGCCCCCTGAAAGAGCCTCAGGGACCCCCAGGGACCTTAGGACACATTTTGAGGACCGTGGCTATGGAGTTATGATAGGAGGAAGGAATTAGGAGTGGTTAAGAAAAGTCATAAAGAAGAAAACAAATGTAAGGGCATAGGAGCAATAATTACTTATGTATGTATAGAGGCCTGATGCACAAAATTCGTGCAAGAGGCTTGGCCCTGGCAGCCCTGGCTTTGTCAGGAAGGTCATCTGTACAGTCGTCTGCACAGTCGTCCTGCTGTTCGGTCTAATTAGTGCATGAGCTCTTTATTATATAGGTTGTGTACAAACAAAGATCAATTTATAAATGCACATATTTTTTAAGAGTAGAATTTTAAAAGGACAGAATTTCTCCCTAGGAAGTTAACAATATGATAGTACGTGAAGTCCAAACAAACAGCCATCATCAGCAATACCATTTAAAAAAAGAGAAAATCAGGGCTTCAGAGGTTCTATGAAAAACCTGAAAACATACATACATAATTTCCTTAAGATCCTCAAAGAGGTTCATAACCAAAAAAAGTTAAGAATTACTTTTCACAGAAATGTATTATTAAAGAGAAAGCCACCCAAAGACTATACAAATGTCCCACAATTAGCAAAGAAGAAATTTGAGATATGTATGTTCCCAGTATTCTCAATTTTCAGATAGAAAAGCTGTGGTAATCATATATCACACTGTAACCTAAGGTGTCTTCAGAATTTTTCTAAACATTTCCCTCACTTGTCATCACTCATCTTACATATACCTGTTCATATGCAGAACTAATCTCAGTTTTTTAAGAGTAGAATAATTTTTGGACAACTGCAGGGATTAGAATGCCTATAAAGAGAAAGGAATGAAAGAAAATTTCAAGCTACCTGTTGTCCCACTGAGAATGCCTGGTTGTTGAACTGTTGAATAAATTCTCCTGCCATCTTGTCAGTATCATAAGGATTAGAGTCGATGCTTTTTTTCTGTAGGAAATCAATCTCAATGGTCATTGTGCCAACACACTGTTTGGTCTTGTCAAATGTATATAAGGACACTAGGGCAAAAAAAGAAGCATTTTTAAAAATCACAGGGACACCAACTACTTGCTGTGTTCTAAGTAACTACAAGTTTTGACAGAATGAATCCTAACAGAACTTAACCAAAAGGGGGTTTTATAGCCCTAGCCATTTTGCTCAGTGGATAGAGCCCTGGAAGCTGAAGGGTCCCAGGTTCAATTCTGATCAAGGGCACGTGCCCAGGTTGTGGGCTCAATCCCGGGTAGGGGGCGTGCAGGAGGCAGCCAATCGAAGAATCTCCCTCATCATTAATGTTTCTATCTCTCTTTCCCTTCTCCCTTCCTCTATGAAATCAACACACACACACACACACACACACACACACACACACACACACACACACAAGGGGCTTTATGTGACTGTTATTAAGAGACACAGGCACAAATTTTAAAACACAGTAATAATCACTACAGATGTTCTTCCCCATCCGAATCAATTCAAACATACTGTGAACAACACTCTCATTCCTCCCTCACTCGACTCTTGTGGGGAAACAACAGCCCCCCGCTACCTCCAAAAGGCCTCTGCATCTTCCTCAAAACAACAGTTTCATAGATCTAACCAATAATATGATTATAATAAATGTGCAACAACCTAACAACCAGTAACAGAAAGTTGTACAGATCTCCAGAACTATGAGAAAATCTTAAAGAAAATCTCCCTCAGGTAACTAAAATATCTACCTACCTTCTATATCTTGCCCAATAGAAAGTCCAGCCCATTTTCGCTGTAAAATAAAACAGAAAAAAATAGACACTTAAAGTCAAATCAATCAAAATTAGATAAACAAGGAAAAGAGAAATTTCCCTGAATTTCAGGTACACATTCAAAGACCAAAACATGATATGTTCTTTTATATAGAATTGTGTCCCACAAACAGATATCTGGAAATCTTCCTCCTGGCACCTGTGAATGTGACTGTATTTGGAAATAAAATCTTTGGACATGGAATCAAGTTAAGATGAGGTTATATCAAATTAGTGGGTTCTAAGTCAATATGATTATTGTATTGTCCTTATAAGAAGAGAGGACACACTGATACATGGGTAGAAAGTCAGGAGGCAAAGGAGGCAGAGACTGAAGTGATACACCTGCCAGTCAAAGAACAAGGATGGTCAGAAACACCAGCAGCTAAGCATGAACAGATTTTCCTGAGGGCCTTCAGAGGGAGTGTGGCATGCTGACACACTGATTTCAGACTTCCAGCCTCCAGAACTGTGAGGAGAAATTTCTGCTGTTGTAAGCCACCCAGTTTTCGGTACAAACTTGTGACAGCAGTCTAGGAAACTTATGCACACCCATCCCAAAACATACAAAGCTTGCCTTTTTACAGTAAAGCCAGCACCACTGAGCAGATGCTCATTTGCATAGTGTAACACTCCTGAAGCTCTTTGTGGTATCAGATAGTTCAGTACTCTAAATGTACTGGGGTTAGTTACACTGTGACAGTATCACAGAAAGAAAAACATTCAGTTCATAAGAAAACAAATTGAAACTGGTCAGACAATGTATACTGAAACCCAAGCAGGGATTCAAATCATTAGATGGCCACCGTTAGTCTCTGTGTACCAGCCAAAGGATTCTCTCAGGCATTTGCAACCAAACTTCAGCTTCTCCCCAGGTCGAAACTGGTTACAATGGCAATAATGTATGGAGGCAGACCCAGATTGTGTTTAGGTAGGAATTCAGGAATGGCTTGGTATAGATTCAAAATCAGTAACCACGGATAACACTCCAAAGAACAGTGAGAAAAATAATTTTTGGCTGAAAATCAATAGTTTGTCTACTCATCTGAACATGTGGGTTTTGTGGTGGATAGCTAAGAGGATGCTGAATCTCAAATGTGTACATTAAGTGCTCTCCCTTCCAGCAGAGGTCACTTCTCCCTCCTCTCTGCCCTTCACACCCCTCTTCTGTAATATCCCATTCCACATACAGCCAACCTGAAATTCAGCAGCATGCTGGGTAAGCCCCGACTTGGAGTCACAGAGAAGCCACACTTAGGTTCTGCACTATTCCAAAGACGGCCTCAAAGTACGATAATAACAGTATCTATGGTATGGGGTTGTTTTGAGAAGTAAATGAGCAAATACATGCAAAAGTACTTAGAATCATATCTGGCCTACAGTAAATGTTGGAGAAAAAAATTTTTTAACAGCAAAAGACAAGGAGAAATAGTCAGAAATCATGAGTAAATCAATGCTTATTAGAAAGAGGAGGGGTATTAGAATACTTAAGACTGTGAGATCAGCAGCATAAGCAAGAAAATAAGGAACAATAGAACACAGACTAGTACCTATGGTGCTCCCAGATTATGGATTGTATGTCTGGAGCAGTGCTAGGCAATTTTCCCTCTGAAGAATCCACCAACAGTTACAAATGTGATCATTATCCTTCCAGTCATCACTGGAGCCCAGCAAGTTAGGTTGTAATTTGAGATAATAATTACTCATATCATATTTAGTCTGACATCATTGCACTTAAAAATCACTATTAATAGATGTTAATTTTATAAGTAAATGCTATTTTTATATCTTCTCTGTTACCCTGGTAGTTAATATTAAAATAACTTAACGCCTTATCTGATAGTTAACTGATGTTACTGCAGAATTTTTTTTAAATTAGAAAAAAAATCAAGGTAATAAAAGGCAGACACAGTAAAATTGGCAATTCATGATATATCTTTAAATTCCCAGTATACTATCTAGATGTTTTTCTTCAGCGTGGATCAATAGCTATAGGAATCCATTGCTTTAAATGGATTGCTGCTTCTACGACCTTCAGGAATGGAAGAGAAGAAATTAACACCTGAGTTACCTGAGGTAAGCTGAATGCAATGCTCCCTGGAACCACTGATGGATGGGTCCTCAGTGTAAATGTGTACCTGTGGTTGGGAGAGGTCCTCACAACCACATGCCTAAAAAACAGAAACATAGTCATTGCTCCAAGTCAAAGGAGATGAAGAATACCACTTGCAAATGTGTTCATTTCCAACAACTGAGACTTGATGAGTACCGGGTGGGAAAATGGTATTACTTGACAGTCCTGAAGGACTAGGAGCACAAATTTCATTTCTAAAAAATGTGAGCAAGTCAAAATGTTTTCCAGGCATAAGGAACACCTTGGGCCAAACACACATCAAGCAGAATGAGGACCAAGTGTATGGTACATATCACCCAAAATATAAACTTTATTACATTTCCAGTTTACATAAACTGATGTTTTTATAGTTTACATAAAACTGGTTATAGTGATTTAGTCTTTAATATTAAGTAAAAAACAGATGAATTTCCTCTCCTGAGAATTATTTCACCTCAAAATAGAATAAAGGGAGAACTAAAGATAGAATAAGGTATAGCAGTAAAAAAAAGTTAGTTTTCAGGACAAATATTTAAATCTCTTTGCAGACTCTCACAATAGGTTGAAGCAGTAATACCTATAAGACTAAAAAGATGGTAAAAAAATTTTTTACAAAATATATCAGCTTTCATAAATATATTTACTATTTCAAAGTATTTTATGCTAATTCATCCTGCTCAGAAGTTACCTATAAACAGATAAAATATAGTTATTTCATGATAATCTCTTATACCAAGAAACTACCAAGAACTGTGTATAAGATAAAAGCTTCAAACAGTTATGTGCTATCTTTTTAAAATTATCTTTTAGAAAGCTATAATTTATAATATTAATGGTTAATGTTTCCATACATATCAGTTTGCCACTAAAACACAAGTTCCTCACAACAACTATATTTTAAATAACCTTTCATGAGGTTATTTTAAATAACCTTTCATGAGCACAGTGAACATTTGAAACATATAAAGGAATTCCATAAAAAAATCCTCACTTATTATCCATACTGCAGTTTATATGTGGAGAGTTCTGTGTTCAACTGAGCATCACAGAATTTTAGGAATGAAAATAATATTAATATAATCATGCAGTACAGATCCTTATTCTGAAGCTGAAAACCATAGATTATTACCAATTATTACCAATTCTAAAGCTGAAAACCATAGATTATTACCAATTTCTGTGAAACTCATGTATTTCACAGAAAAATTAAAAACAAACAAAGCCTCAGTTAAAATCCTGCTTCATTAATTACAAGAAAATTGGTGCTTGCTTTAAATGGATTATTCCTTATCTCCCTAGTCTGCCTTCTGGTACAGCCGCTTACCTCTATCAACCTCAGAAATATATGTATGGCCTTGAAATTGGTAGCAGGGCCTTTAGAAGTTCTGGCATTTGGGTAGCATGAATCAGTTAAAATAAATGACAATTAAAAATGGTTATAGCCCTAGCTGGTTTGTCTCAGCAGACAGAGTGTCAACCTGCAGACTGAAGGGTCCTGGGTTCGATTCTGGCCAAGGGCATATGCCTGGGTTGTGGGCTCAATCCCCAGTAGGGGATGTGCAGGAGGCAGCCAATCAATGATTCTCTCTCACCATTGATGTTTCTATCTCTCCCTTTCCCTTCTTCTCTGAAATCAATAAAAATATAATTTAAAAAATACTTATAAAGATTCTACATTTGTTGCACATCTTCCAATTTTCATGTCTTTTAAAATATCTTAGCATCGGCGAAACCGGTTTGGCTCAGTGGTAGAGTGTCGGTCTGCGGACTGAAGGGTCCCAGGTTCGATTCCGGTCAGGGCCATGTACATTGGTTGCGGGCACATACCCGGTAGGGGGTGTGCAGGAGGCAGCTGGTCGATGTTTCTCTCTCATCGACGTTTCTGGCTCTCTATCTCTCTCCCTTCCTCTCTGTAAAAAAAATCAATAAAATATATTAAAAAATAAATAAATAAATAAAAATAAAATAAAATAAAATATCTTAGCATCACTGATCAAAATGGCTAATATTTATTGAGTACTTATTAATGTGCTAGGCACTGTCCTAAGTGCTTTATTTGTATAACTCAACCTTAACAATTATCATCATCCCCATTTTACAGATTGGGACAGAGACACAAAGATGGTAGCTCACCCAGCTTCACCAAGTTCATAACTGGCAGAGTTAGAATCTAAACTCAAACAACCTGACTTTGGAGCCAGAAACCTAATGGCAATGCTATATATGATTCATATGACCAGTATGTTTATTTCTGCTATGGAAATCGATTTTTAAAAAGTTATAAAAAGCAATATATGCTTTTTAAAATGTTATAGTTATGGAAGTTTAATACAGTTATAGACTGAATTACACAACTCTTTCTCATCTCTTCCATTTTCTAATTCACAAGAGGAATAAAAAATTCTGCCGAAGCCGGTTTGGCTCAGTGGTAGAGCATCTGTCTGCGGACTGAAAGGTGTCAGGTTCGATTCCGGTCAAGGGCATGTACCTTGGTTGCGGGCACATCCCCGGTAGGGGGTGTGCAAGAGGCAGCTGGTCGTTGTTTCTCTCTCATCGACTTTTCTATCTCTCAATCTCTCTCCCTTTCTCTCTGTTAAAAATCAATAAAAAATAGCCGAAACCAGTTTGGCTCAGTGGTAGAGCGTCAGTCTGCGGACTGAAAGGTGTCAGGTTCGATTCCGGTCAAGGGCATGTACCTTGGTTGCGGGCACATTCCCGGTAGGGGGTGTGCAAGAGGCAGCTGGTCGTTGTTTCTCTCTCGTCAACTTTTCTATCTCTCAATCTCTCTCCCTTTCTCTCTGTTAAAAATCAATAAAAAATAGCCGAAACCAGTTTGGCTCAGTGGTAGAGCGTCAGTCTGCGGACTGAAAGGTCACAGGTTCGATTCTGGTCAAGGGCACGTACATTGGTTGCGGGCACATCCCTGGTGGGGGGTGTGCAAGAGGCAACTGGTTGATGTTTCTCTCTCATTGACGTTTCTAGCTCCCTATCTTTCTCCCTTCCTCCTCTCTGTAAAATATCAATAAAATATATATTTAAAAAAATCAATAAAAAATATATTTTAAAAAAATTCTCAAGTTAACTAAAAAATAAGAGCTCTCTAGAAATTTCTAAAATACCATCTAGCAGGTGAGAAGAAAAACAAAGTTAATGATGAACCAAGAGACAGAGATAGAGAAAGTAAAGCAACAGGCAGACTGTCAAATTACAGTGGGGAGGGGAGGAAGATCTGGGGGAAATAATTGATCAAACGAAGGACTTGTATACATGCATATAAGTACAACCAATGTTCATAAAACTCTGGAGAGGGAGGGGATGGGTGGGAGGGAGGGAGGGGGGTAAAAAAAAATCAATAAAATATGTAAAAAAAAATCAATAAAATATGAAAAAATAAAATAAAATAAAAATCGATTAAAAATCTAAAAAAAAAGAAAAAAAAAAAAAAGAAAAAAAAAAAAAAAGAAAAACAAAGTTAGGTACTCACTGGCCAGACTGGAAATCTTTTTCATTCACAACTGCACAGTTGGTTAAAGATAATTCATCTGTAGGACATCTCGCAGCTTGCATACTCTATAAAAAGTAATGATTAGGAAAATAAAATTATCTTTTATAACCTTAGAGAATAGTTTATGCCTTCCTGTCCTTTATTCCTCATCCCCTGTTGTAAAGGCCTATTGTTTTTACTCCCAGCACCCATTCCTCTGTGATAATAGCAAACGCTTCCTTTGGAAAACTGTTCCTTCCTCATTGCACACGCTTTTGTGGGCATGGCAATCACAGTACACATACAACCACATAGAGTCCTATTCCACCCACGGGGCCTTATGTAGACCAGTAATTAAAGAAAGGAATTCTCCCTTGCCTCACCACCACATGGAGGAGGACTTTCTGCTCTAAGAATAAACCTATCACACAGAAAGCAAAGGTAACAGAGACACAAGCAAACACCTTAAATCAGAGACCTGACAATCAAGTTAAAATCCTTGAGTCCTGAACGTTGGTTATAAGCCAATAAATTCTATTTTTTGCTGAAGTTTATTTGAGTTGGTTTTCCAGCTCTTCAAAGAGAAGCTTGTGATTGAGACTCAATCACAATGAAGTAGATTAAATAAGTTTGATAAAGTGTATCATGAAAAGTATAGTTTTATAAGAGATCCCAAGTGCCTCTAAGCCATATCTCCTATAAATTGAGAAAAACCAATTCCAAATATCTCCCAACAAAGATAATTACAAGTTTACATGTTTTAAAATCAGAGCATAACAATCTTATGATCCACAGTGACTAGCAAACATTACTTCATATAAAGTATTTATTAACCAATAACCCTCCACTGTTCTCTCAGGTTTCCTGAGAGAACAGTGGAGGGTTATTGGTTAATAAATACTTTATATTTATTATGAAATATGGTACTTGTAGTCAGTCTTTTATGACTACAGTGCCCATTCTTCAAACCTCAAGCCAAAGCTGGTTCTTCTTAACTTTGTCTCTCAAACACAAACTTATAGAAAAAAACAAATTATTTTTTGCTTTGCTTTTGTTTTAACTAAAGGCTAGTTTTGATAGTTATCCCAGTTGTCTAGAGCAGTGGTCTCAAAATGGGATATGTGTATCTCAAGTTTGTCTGATAATCAAGTATCAAAATAAACTGAATTTAGAAACTGATATCTGAATAGGTGTATTACAAAATATTAAACCAAGAGTTTAAAGAATAATGAAGCTATCACTTTACTTTCTGTATTATTAATAAAAGAAAATTGAGAATATATTTTTCATCTTTAGCTCATCCTTTTTATTTATTTTGATATGTTTTATTATGTATATAAACTATTTGAGTATAAATATATATATATACATATAAATGATCAATATATTTTTTTACTTATGGGATTCATGATAAACTGTTTGAAAATCATTAATTTATAACATGAGATGAATAAAGTCTAGGTCATACGTTTGATTTCTGAATGAGACAGTATTTTTGTCCACTGTCACAATTTGACAAGTCATTTGACAAAAAAATACCCAACCTTTTAGTTTTCCACCTACCCTGGGGTCTCTTTCACCTACAGGACATTAGTATTTCTTTAAATCAGTATGTTATTGAAGAAAAACATACAATCAGAAAAATACATACGTGTAAATGTTTGGTTCAATGAATTTCTACAAAGTGAACACACCCAAGGTAACCAACACTCTCTTGAAGACATTACCAGCTCTCCTCTACCCCAATCACTAGATTTTTGCCCCAACCACAGATAACTACTATCTTGTTTCTCTTACCAGATGAAAACCTTAAATTAGCTTTTCCTGTTGAAAATTTTATATATAAAGTGGAATAATACACAACATGTATTATTCCATGTCTGACTTCTGCCATTCAACACAATAGGTCCTTAGGTTATGTCGGAAATCCGTTCCTACGGTGCAATGTAACGCAATTTTCGCCATTAAGTTGGAACCCACATACATAAGCACCTACCCTGTTTCCCCGAAAATAAGACAGTGTCTTATATTAATTTTTTCTCCCAAAGTTGCGCTAGGTCTTATTTTCAGGGGATGTCTTCTAGGTCTTATTTTTGGAGGATGTCTTATTTTCGGGGAAACATGGGTATGTCACTCACATGGAGCACATACACAGCAGTAATGAAGCAAAACGGTAAAAAAAATTTAAAAGAAAGATGACAATTCCTGATCTTTACTCGTGGTAAATAAATAATAAAAAAAACATAAAGCACATATGTACATAAGTCAAAATGATGGAACTTTAAAAAAAATAAATAAATGGGAGATGGTGACATAACCATGAAACAACATATGTCGAGTCCAACGTAACCCGAGGACTGTCTGTATTATGATTGTGAGACTCATCCATGTTGTAGCAATAGTTTACTCATTTTTATTTCTCTTATATAATTACTAGAACAAAATTCTTGCACGGGCGGGGTTGTGTGTGTCCCTCAGCCTGGTCTGCATCCTCTCCAATCTGGGACATCCCCCTCACAATCCAGGACTGGTGGCTCCTGACCACTAGCTCCTAACCACTCACCTGCCTGCCTGCCAGCCTGATAGCCCCCTAACTGCTCCCCTGCCAGCCTGATTGACACCTAACTGCTCCCCTGCCAGCCTGATCACCCACAACTGCCCTCGCCTGCCAGCCTGATCGCCCACAACTACCCTCCCCTGCCATGATCCGTCTCCTCTGACAGGACCTGCTGGGACAGGCCTCCTCCGCACCATATGGAGCCACAGGACCCCCCCAGGCCACCACACAAGAGTGGCACTGCCTCTCCCGCTGCCCCACTGTGTGTGAAGCCATCTTGTGACGGCCATCTTGTGATGATGTGAGGGTGTGATGACCACCTAGGCTATTATTAGTATAGATATTAACATACCATTATTATGTATCCATTTAAGTTTCTAGTTTTTAATTATGAATATTGTTGCTATTAACATGTTTGTACATGTCTTTTGAATGATAGCTATATGCATTTCTATTGAATATATTCCCACCTCACCCCACTCACCCTCCAGTAGAACGGCTGGGTCATAAACATCCATGGCATATGTTCAGCCTAGGGAGTTTTGCCTAAGGTATACAATGTGGTATTTTGACATAAATATACCTTGTGTAATGATTACCACAATCAAGTTTCATAGTTACCATTTTGTGTGTGTGTGTGTGTGTGTGTGTGTGTATGACCTTGTGTGCAAGGTGAGAATACTTAATGTATATTCTTTCAGCAAATTTCAAGTTTATAATATGTTATTAACTATAGTTAATACTACCTAGCATTTTAGTCAGGGTACCAAATCTACTATATGCAAGAAATAACTACACTTTCTTAAATGTTTGGAAATTGGATATAGATGAATGTATTAAAGGGAAGAAAAGGCATCTGGAAACAACTAGATTGAGTAAACATTTGGGAAGAAGTCTGGTAAAAAACAACAACACACATCTTCAACAATTTAGAAGGAACTAAATGGAAGAGCTTAAAATACTGTTAATGGTTCTCAATTTTAGCATAAACCAGAATCACCTATAGAACACTTAAAAGAGACTGTAGGAGTCCTGGCTGGTGTGGCTCAGTTGGCTAGATTACCGTGGTTGGCAAACTGCGGCTCTTTGGCCCCTTGAGTGTGGCTCTTCCACAAAATACCACAGCCTGGGCGAGTCTATTTTGAAGAAATGGTGTTAGAAGACATTTAAGTTTTAAAAATTTGGCTCTCAAAAGAAATTTCAATCATTATACTGTTGATATTTGGCTCTGTTGACTAATGAGTTTGCCGGACTGGGAACATCATCCCGTGCACCAAAAGGTTGCTGGTTCAATTCCTGGTTAGGGCACATACCTAGGTTGTGGGTTCAATCCCCAGCAGGGGCAGATATGGAAGGCAACCTATCAACGCTTTTTTTCATACATCAATGCTTCTCTTTCTCTCTCCCTGTACCCTATTCTAATTTAATCAGCCTGAGATGGGGCCTGAGATTTTGCAGTTTGAACAAGTTCACAGGTGATGCTAATTAGCTGGTCTGCAGTCTCCACTTTGAGAATCACTGTACTCAGTAAGGAGAAATAAACTTCATAGAAAAACAGAAATACTGACAGGTTCATTTCATTCTACAATAGAAGAGAAAAAATGTGGAAAAAAGGCTTCAGAAATGCTCTTAGTCCATTTCATCATTTAACTTGGTAAATATAATTAAGTTTATTTTGATTCTTAATTAGTAGTAAATTGATTAAAAGCTATATAAGCAAAAAGCAGTTATCAGACTCAATATCTGGAAGAAAAGACTATTGGGAGTCCAGCAGCTGTTTAAGTTATAGCTACTTTCTCATTAACAATTAGATAACAGAATAAACAACAGTGAAGTATTCAATAGCTTGGCAGAGAACATAACATTAAAACCAGGTAGGAAAATGTTCATATGCACCTAACACTAAAGACACCTTACAACTGAAAAAAATCCACCAGTGAACCCCTAAATACTTTGTTATATAGTGATTTTAAAAGTAAATGCTAGATTTCAAAAATTATGTTATTTCTTTTTATTTTTATACGCAAAAATTTAGAAAGCCACAGAAGTAGGGAAAGTGAGTCAGCAGGGCGTGGGCTCAGGAAACAAGGGCAAAAGAAGGGCTTTTGGAGCTTAGGAAGAAGAGAAGAACAAGGAAAACTCATCTGGGGAAAGAGGGTGACGGAAGGAGCGAGCAGGCTCTAAAGAGCAGCTGCCGATAGTTTCTTATTTTAAATTAATAATTTTCCCACTTTATTACCAAAGATCTATATGGTAAGTGCAAAATACATCAGAACTTAACACTTCATTCTGAATTTAGCAAAGGACCAAAATACCCTGCATTACTCATAAACAGCTGATGCAAACTCATTTGGTTTCAAATCTATAGAGCACAAAGTTGTCACTTTTTGCTTAATGTCAAAAAGAAAAAGCAGCCTAGCCGCTGTGGCTCAGTGGTTGAGCGTCAATCTATAAACCATGAGGTTTGATTCCCAGTCAGGACACATGCCAGTGGGGCGTGCAGGAGGCAGCCAATCAATGATTTTCTTT